TAGTTAGTTAATTAACAGTAATACTGTCGACGGTGCGATTAAATAAATAAATAAATAAATAAATAGAAGATTAATACGTGTATGTACAAAATTACATTAATGCAACAAATAATTGTATACAATTTTCTAATTGTGCAAATTTACTCTTAAACTCATCAGTTAAAAGTTAGAAAGAATTTTCTAGGTAAACATTTCATTATTTATATTAAAATTACCTGTTAATATTGAAAAATTAGTTAATTACTCTTTAACTGCCAACGATAACAATTTTTGAAGTCTTTCAAAAATAAAACTAAGAAGTAATTTAATGACTTGAATTCTCATCGATAACAACATTTGAGGTTAATTTTTGTTATTTTCTTCTTTGACATCGATTAAACAATTATAATTCTTCAAAAATTGTTATTGATTACAATTTTTTAGGTAAATTTAAAATCCTCTTCTTTGACGTCGATTAAATAATTACAATTGACAAGAAATTTCCATCGATAACAATTTTTGAGGTTAATTTTTATCATTCTCTTCTTTGACATTGACTAAACAATTACAATTGACAGGAAATTGCCATCAGTGACAATTTTTGAGATTAAATTCACACATTAGAACTCATCGATGACAACTTTTAACCTTAAATTCCTAAAAAATATTCATTAACAATGGTTTCCATTGAAATTTATAATAAAAGTGGAACACTAGATAAGTTTAAACTGATGTAAAAGTGACGTTAAAGAGATTTTGTTTATGAAACTTCTCTTTAAACTGAGTTTTACAGTATAAATATTATAAAATTGTACCATAATCTCACTTTTTCAAAATGGATGTACGTCACTTCTGAATTAACATTTTAGTCAAAGAAAAGGAATAAAGGATAATGACAAGTAGAAGCGAATCATTAAAAAGAAAACTAGGCTTCTATGTTCCATGAAAAAATGTTCAACTTTCCCTCGTAGCACAGAATAATTTCTAAATATTTTTTTAATAATCTTTGCCAAATATATCAAGCCAAAGATTTTTAAGACGTTTCGTACATTTTTCATTTGACGATTATTATCAGACATTTCATATGGAATACAAAATGTGACAAATTTTTGCAATATTTCATTATAGTTGCAAAACGTGTTTCTTAATTAAAAATATTTTTGAAACGTTTATAATATATTTGGCAGATAATATTTAAAAAATATATTTATTAAAATGAAACAAAACATTTTGTATATCTGTAAGAAAAATATTACGAAATCACATGGAGCTATTATACAATTATTATAAAAATAATATTCTAAAGTAAATGTTTTGTTATTATTTCAAAAGTTAAATGTTTACAAAATGCCGGTTCCTGTTTGTTAAATAGATAGACAATAAAATGCAAATATTTTGTGCTATTAGGGATGGCTAATATTATATACATATAAAATTAATATTCTAAAGTATACGTTAAAAAAAAATATTTCCTGCGAAACAAAAGTTTAGTGTCATGGAGAATTGACTTAGCGTATTGTTAGTGCAAATCTTAATTTGTGATCAAGAAACTCAGTAGAGTTACGCGCTAAATACATTTGAAATACTCGCTTTAGAATGAAACATTCAAAATTAAACTTAATTTTCAAGCGTCCCAATTTTATTAAATTTTTCAATATTTAAATAAAATTCGCGTAACTTAAACAATGAATTAATTACACTAATTGGCCATCGCGAAAATAATTCTAATTATATGTAAGGCAAGTGTCAGTGTATAACAATTAATATGAATAAGCGTAAAAATCTGCAGTTGAAAGTTTCGATTCAGAAAACTTTAAATTGCAAATTCTTCGATTATTTAAACATTATCGTTAATTCTATCCGTACAATTATTAACTATCAATAGGTTTTCTCTCGAGTTGTTTATCTTATTGCAAATTCTTGCGCTTATATCTGTAATTAGTTAATTAATACTTAAGTTTAGGTTTTTAGGTTAGTTCAGCTCGTCTTGGCATATTTTTAGTTACTTTTTAATTGTTTTAACTAATCTCAGGCAAATTCGGAACCAGCTAAAGTTTATCGGCAATTTATTAACAATTCTACAAGAAATATTAATTGTATATATTGTCAATAAACAAACAAAAACAAAGTATATAAAAAACAACCTGTAACATTGATGATTTTTTTCTTATGATAAGGAAATATTAATTTTTACGGTATAGAATGTTGCATAATTATTTTTATGATAAATAAAAAATTTAAATGGAATGTAATGAACTTCATAAATGGTTGACCCAATGTAAAAACAACTAATTAATAAACAAACTGGAATTTCAATGAAAGAAAGTTCCATTGTTCAACTTTGTCGGTCTCCAATAAGAAAGTAATTTGAACGTTTTGGAATTTTGCAACCATTAATCCTGTGTGGACTACCGCTGCATATATGTATCTAACGCTTGGCCCAATATTGCCTGCACGTATTCATGAATTTCGCCCCCATGTCAAAAGAACTTCGTCCTCAAAGGGTTGAAATCTACGTTTAATTTACAATATAGATTGTTAATAAACTAATAAATTAATTANCGGCTAGCCATTAATATAAAATGGTCATTATATATATAACTCAGACAACTCGAGATTTTTAATAATATTTTCGGACAACCAATATCCAAATAACAAATGCGAATTTAAATGTAAAAAATGATTTTCAAATTCCTGAAAGACAAGAAATCGTTTGTTCATTAATTTTAAGATGAGGAATGCAGAAAGTTATTAATAAAAAAATCTCAGCGGAGTCAAACCTACCCTCTCATTAACAAGAATTATTTCTCTTTACACCCTCCCTCCCTCTCTTAAACGTTAATAATTGTTATTCTAATTGTTAGTATTAATAATTCTTTGACTCGTTGAGCCTTTCGAGTCTCCTGGCAGGATCGCAGCATTGCTTCGCAGGTGAAGTGGCACTTGGCGTGGAAATTCAATTTTCTTTCCTCTCCGATTGCCCTGAAACATTTACATTAAATAATTAACAATCAATAGCAATTATATAAGTAGACGAGAGTAACAATTATGTATGTTTTGTCTCTACCCAGATAGAAATTCATGATTCATCATATGCCTAGTAGTGTAAAACATTTGTCTTATATCTTCTATTTATTTAACAAATATCATACACTTTGTAAACATTTAACAGACTTTTGACATATTTGCAAAACGTTTACTTTAGAATATAATTTTTATACTATTTTTATGATATTTTTAATATACTTAGATGATGAAATATGTATCCACTAGGTTATAAACGTGTTTTAACACATGTATAAACATGTAAATATTTTTATGGAATAATAAACTGATTTGACGCTGTGTTAAAAATTGTTTAGAATTTTACGTCACCAATATTGCGGATGCCGTAAATGCACGATATATGTATCCACTAGGTTATAAACGTGTTTTAACACATGTATAAACATGTAAATATTTTTATGGAATAATAAACTAATTTTTCGTTTGTATACAAAATTGTTTATAATTTTACGTCTCCAATATAGCGGACGCCGAAAATATACGATATGCGGCATCCACTAACTAATGGCCTTTAGTCAATAATTACTTTAGTCAAAAAAACAAAGGAATAAAGAATAATGGCAAATAGAAGTAAACCATTCAAAAGATATCTAGACTTCAATATTTCACTTTTCCAAACATTCCATGGAAAGTTTTTAATTTTAAGCGTATCAGGAATAGGAACTGTGGAAACATAAAGTCCAATATTCATGTAATTTTCATTACGTATGAAATTTGTAAATTAAAGTACCTAATAATTTATTGTAAAACACTATATAAATTGCCTCGGGTATTTTAGTTACTCAATTCTGCTTCTTATATTACTTCGTAATTAAAACACTCACCGGAGGGATTCGGACACAAATAACTTCTACAGGTTTTCATGACGGAGGGCCTTGGAATGTTCCTACAGGCGTTTCCAGCTGGCTTTTTCGTTCCAAACCAGACACATTGAAGAATTCGGTATTTAATTCCATTCTCGTTGCAGGAGGCTGTGCACTGAAATTGTTAATAACTACCAGTTATCAAGAATGGCGAGTAATATCATTAAAGAGGTTATGATCTCTCCAGCATCGGAGAAGAGTTTGAAATGGAATTGTTTTGTATCAGATTTGCAATTTTCAATTTTTGCAATTTTAAACAATGTTGACAATTTTATTCAACATCGGAGGATTTTTATTTTTTTTACATTTTCTTTTGATTACGATGGGAATTCATTTATAATGAACTTTGAACTTATGCTGACATTTTTTATGTTGAGCAATTTTAGTTAATTTTAACAATTGTAACCATGTAATTAAATGTCGGAAGACGATTTTGATCTCTTCAAACTATTCTCTTGATTATGATGCGAATTCCGTCATAATGAACTTTGAGGTTAGGATAAAATTTCTTGTGTTGGGGAATTTTAGACTATTTTAATACGATTGAAGATTACTTTTAAAATTGTTTCAACATCAAAGAGAACTTTAAATGATAGTAGGATTATGTTAAGATAAATTTAACCTCGAGCAATTATTAATAAGCATTAATCTCTTTCCTTTCCATTCACAATTAGGTTAGGAATTCACTGCTGTTAACTGTTCAACTCACCTCTGACCATTCTCCGACTCTCCAGACTCCTTTGCAAGCATCGTTGTAACACTCTCTCCTCTGTGTTGGCTTTGAACTTTCCTCGCAGTTACTTAATTCCAGTAAACTAACAATCTGTGTTCCATTTTCTAACTCTCGGAGGGAACGACACTTAATTTCTCTCCTCTGCATCGCTGTAAAAAAAAGGAAACAATTAATATTTAATAAACAAGTGCCTTTGACACACGTTTCGAGTTCCGCATATTTTTTGGGACAAAATAACTATAATTAAAAGAATCTGAATGAAAATTATGAGGTTAATAGATTGTTAATTAATCAATAAGCTTAATGGAAGAACTTTTTGTGAACTGTGAATGCGGAGGCTATAAGGAAGGTCCTGACACTCATGAAATTTTACTTTTTATACAAAATTTTCCAAATATCTGTAAACAAATTATTTAAAAACTGAAATTTCAGGAGTTTCTGGAGCTTACATTTCTCTTATATTTATATTTTAAAGTTTGAGTCAATTCAGTACACCCAGTTTGAAAAAAAAAGTTTATCACCTTAAGGTGATGTGAAAGTGATGTCAAAGATGTGTTGTTTATAACATTTTTCAAACTGGATGTACCAAATAGTTTCAAACTTTACAACACAAACATAGAGGCTATAAGGAAGATTCTGACATTCATAAATTTCAATTTTTTTAATTTGTTTATATATATTTAAAAATTTGTTATAAAAATTGAAATTTTATGAATGTCGAAACCTTCCTTATACCCTCACATCTACATTGTAAACTTTGAAATGATTCGATATATCCAGTTCAAAGAAAAGTGTCATTCGCGACCTCTTCGTCCCCTTAACATCCAAACAAGTTGCGCCGTTCGACGCAGTAATATCGAACGACGTTCGTACACTTTCTACTTGAAAATCTGTAAGAAACTGACCTGTCCTCCAATTGAAACACCGTGAACTTTCGCAAGGACTCCATTCCCCCGCCGACCAATGAGGACATCCCGCCCCTCCACAGGACTTAACCTTATCAGGTGCGGTTAGGTTGGCATTCTCGCAGTGCCTACTAGGAACGATCCTCCTGGGCGAGTGGGAGGTGGAGGGGGAGGTGCGCACCGTGCACTGCGCACCTCTCATCTACAAGATAAGTAAATTGTTAAGGGGAGGTGAAACTAAATTCTGGATGCGTGAAACATACCGGCTAGCCATTAATATAAAATGGTCATTATATATATAACGTTAAATTGTTTATGACACTATTCTACAAACTGGGCCATCGAATAATTTCAAAATTGATAATGTGATTATAGAGATCCTGAGAAAGAACGTGGTGCTCATGAAATTTCATTTTTGATAAACAAATTGTTTTTATTTATCCCAGCTTAGAACCAAGATCCCATATTTTTGATTGAAAAATGAAATTTCATGAGCATTGCGTTCTTCCTTAGGACCTCCATAATTACATGCCAAAGTTTCATACCATTCGATGCACCCAATTTTGAAGAAAATTTTGTAAACATTTTGATGTTTTGTATGTACAGAATGACCCTTTCATAACACCTGAACAATTTGCACTCGAGTGCAAAGAACTAATAAAAGAAACTAATGAATATAATGTATAATTACTGAAATTGTTTGTGTAATAAACAAATGAATGGCATTTCCTTACCTGGAAACCTCCTCCACCACAGGTCTGGGAACATTTAGACCATTCTGAAGTGACCCACTCGAAGACCAGGTATCCTAAAAGAAAAGATGAATATTAAAAACGAATTAAGTAATATGGAAGAGTCTATCACTAGTAGCAAACAATATTTTCTAAATAACTTTATATTTTAAACTTTACTAAATATTTCAAGCGACAGATTTTTTAAGACGTCTCGTTAATTTCATTCAAAGATATCTAAAATATTTTTTGAAAATCTCAATGACATATTTAGTTTTAATAATTTAGAAACATGTATCTGTTTTAACACATGTATAAACATGTAAATATTTTTATGGAATAATAAACTAATTTTTCGTTTGTATACAAAATTGTTTATAATTTTACGTCTCCAATNATGTGGCGTCAGCACCTAGGACAACGGTACCGCATACACGGTTCAGGTAAACGCCGCAAGCGGCGCTCCTATAGGACAACGTGCAATTACACCTTAATCCGCCGTGTAGTTATATAAGTAGTAGGAGAAGTAAAAAGTCTAACGACGGAATTACCGCCAAAAATGTGTGCTCTATCAATGTTGTAATAAAAGAAACTTTATATACGCTAAATGGGTTTAATAATAAGTATTGTGATAACGTCCATAGTGTTTTATTTATCATTAACGGAATAAATGAGACGAGCGAGTCGGGTAAAAATAATGCTAACGCGCATGTGGCCGAACGCGCCATACCACCAAATTCGATGCTGCCATCTAGCGGTGGAAGCCATCGTCCCCACTTTGGTGGTGAACGCCGTTAAGAACATATAAAGCAAATATTTTGTGCTGCTAGGGCTCCTAGTCTAAGGGATGGGACTAGAATTCGAAAATTCTCGGTAACATTGAATTGGAGAAGGTAACTGTGAAACATACCGCAAATTACCGGGAACATTGAGAATTTAAGAGAACGTTAATTTTGTTATTTATACTTTAGGTTTCTTCGTTTAAATAACTTTTTTTTTTCGATCAACTTCAAAGTTCAAGCTAAAGAGTAATAATTACTATTAGAAAATATTGATTATAGGGTCGTATTTACCTCCAGCTAAAAATATTCATGTATGTACAACTTGACGGTAAATTCCGTACTATTTCTTTCAAACGAACTGACATTTCATTCTGCGACGAAGCGAATGGGAGGTTTTCATTGGTTACGGAGAACGTACAACGAAAATTCCCCTCTATGATGTTTCTCTATAGCTAATCGAAACCTCTCGTTCACTCTGTTGAAAAATTCAAGTTCTCATAATTTCTTGATAAAAACGGCTTTGGAGAAATTACCGATAAGTTACCGGGAATTTCTCTTCGTTTCTGACGTAACTTACTGGATTTAGAACTCTAGATGGGACATAATAATGTATTACTCGCCCAAAAATTAAAAAATATGGATATGTTTCTATTTCTTTATAAGTATTACTAATGAATGCCTATTTGATATTATTAATATGTCACTCCAAGGATCGAATCACTTTCGGGAAATCTCAAGTCGAACCATCTGTCGGCGGTTTTACGTACTAAATTATTTCTCTTCTAATTAAAAAATAATATAAATCAGTGCCAATATGATCAGTGCTCTATTGGAGTGTCGGAAATTTCCCATAATAACTCTAGTAGCACATACTATATTCTAAATATTGCTTTTAAAGTTTCATATATATCTCAAGCGATAGATGTTTTAAGACGTCTTGTAGATATAATTTGTACTCTACCGAATTTCTTGAAAAAATACCTTCTTTCACCTTTCTCACCTTTCTCACTCTTTGTCACCCACTTTCACTCCCTTCGCCCGTAAAGTATTCTTGACTGACACATGTACATATTTAGCGCAGTTTTTTTACACCTGATAGTGTTGTTAATGTGATCCTCACATTACATCATATTCATCGTCATCCTGAAACTCCCTGTATACAAATTTAATTGTAAAACATTGTTAATAACAAATGCTTGCATATAATATTCATTTATTCCGTTCCAACGTTAACATTATCCTCTGTGCAGCGATTTACATAATTTATATATATATATATAGGCAGTTACATATATACATATAGTTAGTTAATTAACAGTAATACTGTCGACGGTGCGATTAAATAAATAAATAAATAAATAAATAGAAGATTAATACGTGTATGTACAAAATTAC